AAAATATTGCAGAGAAGTACATTTTACTGTACTGCGAAGTACGAAGTAAAACGGCTCAAAAGGAAGTACTGTACTTCTGAAAGAAGTACGGTTGGTAACATTATTCATACATTTACTCAGTTAAAAAAACTGCCTGGCGCGGGGGAAGAGCCTAGCAACCTGTCCACAATTCATTTCGATATTATTTATTGCACAACGACAACATGCAGATGACAGTTCTTTGCTAATTTTTCTAAACGCCTGAATAGAGGGCGTTTCAATAGCACATACATACCTACATTCTAATACTATATGGATAGATATTGATGTAATATGTGCATATGTACATATGTATATTTACCTGTCGGCAGTTACAGCTCGTGCATTTCAGTCACGATTTGACGTAATACATTTTTAAACTCAAAGTAGAATGCGATATTAAAGGCGTAGTTTCAGATATGTGCTGTTGAACTAATTAATTAAATGAGTTTACTTTACTAAAACGTACAAATGTACATAAATATTTACATACATATATTTGCAGACCTTTGTATGTAAACCATTAGCGCACACAAGGCCGGGTTTTGGGGTCAAAAACTCCATCTAAAGCTAATAACCTCAAATCGACTGCTGAGTGGAAGATCGACCTATCTCGGCAGCCAGTTCAAAAACGCCCTATCTCAAAAAAACTTTTCAAAAACGCCCTATTTCAAAATTCGTTTCGAAAACGCCCTATCTGAGCTGCCGATTCAAAAACGCCCTACATCACCACATTTCAATACATTTTGAAGTGAGATAGGGCATTTTTGAATCGTATTCTGAAAAAGGGGGTTCTTCAACCGAACTCTGAGATATAGTGTTTTTCAATAAAATTCTGAAATAGAGCGTTATTGAAAAATTTTTTGAGATGCAGCGATTTCTATTCTCAAGTTACATACCTGATGACAGTACGAATGGCAATTATAATAGGGAGGTTTTAGTTTTTTAAACTATAATTTAGATTATTATTAAACAAGAAAACAAAAAATACAACCGACTTCGATTCTCACATACAATTTTAGGAGTACCGTTAATTTTTTCATGATCCAATGATCGGAGCTAAACCAAATTACGGGACGACCCTTGAGGTACAATCTTTCCGATAAAAAAAAAAGAATTATTGAAATCAGGGCTCGAGTCGTCACATACGATATCGCACTACTCGTTACGTAAAAACACATTTTTCGGATTGAGACATACGTGAGCGTACTTTTTGTCCCATTCAGCTTATACTGCCTGACGTATCACGTAATTTTCTTTCGCGTATCGTTTTCGATCCGTGAACGGATGTTACGGTTCGAGCCCTGTTCACGTGGTCCAAAGTAGGATACATAAAAAAATTAAAAATATGCCGACGAATTGATAACCTCCTCCAATTTAGAGGTAGCCTAAAATGTTTAGGTTCTTTGTTAATTTTATGTAAATAAAGTGCAATTTATGAAACTTTACAAAGTTTATTTATTTACTTATTACATACTGTACGTAAAACTTGCATGCATGTATTTTAAAGACCAAAGCAAATTTTCAGTATTTTCTGGTGATACATACATCCTTAAGGTACTGGCCCAATGCAGGCTTGCTTTGCTTGCTTCGCTTTGAGAACTGTCAAAAGTCATTTGGAATATACTAAAACGTATGAGGGGTGACCAAATGGGAACTTTGCTTCGCTTGCTTTAAGCGCCTCAAAGTTTTAAATAGGCAAAGGTTTTATTTGAAAGAGTTTTGTAGGCTTTTGACAAAAGGTATGTTCCCGTTCTAAATAAATTCAAACAAACTGCTGCGCACTTTTATGTAGAAATTTTACGTAATTAAAAAAGAATATATGAATAATGTATGTAATCCACAGTTTAATAAAAATGATTCTATGTTTCCATATCTATATTTTACATAAACAGTATTTATAATAAACAGTTTTCTCGCTCCCTCTTGATGAAATCGGCTGCATTAGCAAGGCACTGTGTGTGGGTTCGTGTGTGTATGCAAAACTTTTGTAAGGGAGTTAAGCGAGTGTCAAAACTCGAATGTCAATAGTTAGCAAACCTTTAGTTATTGAATCGTGCTTCCCACTCTCACTCTCACTCACGGCCTCTCTCTTTCTATTGCGGCAAATACGTCTCGCTTTCCTCTTCAGCTCTATTGACAACAATCAGTATTCAGGCATTTTCGACGACGCTAATTACAAATTCATAGTCAGATTAAAGAAATTCAAGATGGCGAATACAAAATGGTGAGCAAAAGTGCATATAGTCTTTTTTTAACTTTGGGCAGCCATTTTTTCAACCTTTTAGGTTTTTCCAAATTCGTGTCGCAGTGAAGTTTCATTGTACCAATTTTCAGCTTAATTGGGCTAACCGTTTGCGAGATATTAATTTTTTCCCGTTTTTCGTTGATTTGGAACCACTGTGGGCCGTTGATACATAAAAAATGTCAACTTGGATAAAGATCTAGAATTGAGCATTAGCAACTCAATACGATTAAAGAACCATCCAATTCCGCTTGCTAACGAACTCCTAAGAGGCGGATCTGCTAGAATCTAGATGGTTAAAAAAGGGGGATTTTGCCGACATATGCAACTGAAGCGCTGACCTATAGTTTAATAAAGTCTTGATTACAAATATCCCTACTGATATTTGCTTGAAATGTTTTTAGAATTTTAATTGGTAATAGCTATGGTTCATTATGCTCTAAAAACAATCTGTGTGAAAGATGATAATTTTTGGTCAATATCTTAGGCTCGCCCTTGTCCATCAAAGTTCATGTGTTAAAAAACAAATGTTTAGCTTACTTCGATTTACTCAATATACCAAATTATGTAAGACTTTCGAAGATACTTGCAATTTTAGTAAAAAAAAACATGTAATAATTAATGTATTTTTTTTTTATTTTTATTTTTGCGTACATTGAACTTTGATGGACTTGGGCGAGCCTAAGATTTTGACCAAAAAACTCAGTCCCTACCCGCGGAAGAAGTGAAACTTAATAGAGGAAATGCCAGAAAGAAATAAATTTGCGATATACATACACATATACATATTTTCTAATATACAAAAAACAAATTTATTTAAAATTTTTTTAACGACCTTTAACTTTTTATAACCAACTGCAAAGTTTAATTACTATTTGTGCCTCAGAAAGCTTCCATATCTACAATATTAACTACCAGATTGTGGTAACTAAAGTAAGATATGAAATGTTTTATTTCAATATTTCTGGAAAAACCCGCATTACTGGTAGCCGCTCCTACCAATAACCATTTCCAGTGAGTTTTTCTTTAAAAAAATTTTGTCAGTTCATCAGATTTGGCCAGCAAAAATTTGACGTTGAAATCTCCTGCGAGAATTACAGGTCGATCATAACAGTCTACTTATCTTTACCTTCATCTTTATCATTCATCTGCATCTACATCTTCACCTTCAACTTCAACTTCATCTTCATCTTCATCTCCATCTTCATCTTTTATTTTTCAAAACCATTTCTTTTGACACCCATATTGGGATACTTTATTTATTTTAATAAATAATTTGAATTTGATTTTCGTATATATGGTTTCATAACTAAAATCATATTACACATCTACAGGTCAAGCCCTATCATTTGGCACCTCATCTTTTAAAATCGAACGAACGATACAGATTTTATGACTCGGTGTTAAATATTTATTGCAAACATCTGCGGTGAGAAATTTTGAAGTTTCTAACATGTGGCAACTCCTTTCATAAAACTAAAGCTGTGTTTCACACCCGAAAGACGAGGCCTTTCATGTGACACCTCATTTATGAAAAACGAACGAACGATGCAGATTTTATAACTTGGTGTCAAATATTTAACGCAACCATTTCCGAACTCGTGTAAGAAGTTTCACTTCAAAAATGTTCCTCTTTTACAAAGACTGTTTTTAGAGCATAGTGAATCATATTTTTCCTATTACCAATCAAAATTCTAAAAAAGCGGATCCACGCTAATTCATACATACATATGTACATACATCAATGTGTAAAATTAAGCAACAACAAAATATTAAGTGCTCCAGCAGAGAATAAGTCATTAACTATAGTTATACGATTTTTAGTTTCATATTTAAAAGATCCAATAAATACAAATGAAAAAAATACTTGCACCTACACTAAACTTTCGCAACACTATTTTTGAATTTGGGCCTTTATTTTTTATATGATGTTAGAATTTTGTGAAATAATTTAAATACACTATAGTCACTTAATTAAAAGAAAAAAAAAAACGACCAAAGGGAAATATCAAATGTGTATATTCGGAATCAGGGAAAGCTAAATCGTGGTAATTTTAAATCGAAACTACTAAATATACCTCAGAAAAAGGTAGCGTTGGCAGAACAATAACATTTTCGCCGCACTACTTCTAAATAGCAAAATGATGTGTTTGTTGTGCATTGGTGGCGATTCTCGCTGCCATTGCGGGTATAATTTGTTATTGTAGTTTCTGTTTTCGCTCTACCGATACCACCTTATTACATTCGCCTTGATCCATTCCCTGCATATACATATTACATACGAGCGACTAACGCAAGAAAACTTGTAAATGAATAACGTAGCGTATGCGTAACATGTGTACTTTGCAGAAAAATAAATAAAGTTACTCATACGCTCTGTCCGTCCCAATAAGGGCATTTCGCCGTATTAAAATGTTTTCAAACTTTAAAAACTATTTATACAGTTCCAACCGGTAGGTGAAGCTGGATTCAAAATATTTGGCGAACACATATTTATCGTCCGACTTGGTTCATATTTGGAAAGCTTGTTTTAACAAGATTTTTTTACCATTAACTTATGTATAAACAATAAAGGCAATTCGTAAATATAACAATTAAAATTAGTTTGTAACAAATTGTGCTGGTATTTTAATAAAAATAAATATGTAGTCAAAATTTAAAATGCTCCAACTCAACCAACCAGGTTTTTGCAATGTACTAAAGTTTGACCTTTTTTTTTTTTTGTCAAAGAGGTAACTATTTTATATCAAATATCATACATTTATTGATAAACAAGAATATGAGAATATAAGAACAATGTTTATAATATTTTAACCCTTTAAGTAGCCACTTGAGCGTGGCAGATTGAGGGTTAAATTGTTCTAATCGAGTGTATGTATATTTAACAAAGAAAATCTTTTTAATCAATGCCGAACCGAACTTTTCAAGCCGAAGCGTACGATGGAAAAGCCCTCTCAGTGGAGCTCCATTTCAATGGAATGCTCACAAATAAAATGTCTTAAATATCGGCATCGAGTATCATTCCATTTGCCCACCTCCCTGAATCCCATTTCAACGCATAACTCATCGCCACGCCAATTATCTGGCATGTTGGGCAGCCAATTTGTATAATTGAATTCTGCTCCGGTGCTGTGCCAAATGAATTTATCATGCTTTTTGTCAAACTTCCCAGAGGTCCAATATATGTAATCATTGCCAATATTTGGTTTATCGATGTAGCCTAAAATAGAACAAAATGTTTAAAAGCCCATATGTTTCGAAAAATTAAACCCATAATCTTACCAATTTCTATAAAGAACTGTGTTAACTTCTCCATACGTTCCGCCGTATTCGGAGTGAAGAGCGTCATATTCATATTGCTGCAATACTGAACAGCATCGGACCATTTTAACTGTTAATTTTTAATGCACATTGGAAATTGTGTTTGAAATTGTTAAATAAGTACATACATACATATGAGCATACCAGAGTTGTAAAAAATGCAGTAATTTTTTAATGCATAGAATTTTAATAATAATGTGAAAAATCAATGCATTAATTTTTGAAATTTAATGTAAATGAAAATTTAAATGCTCAAAAACATTGGAATAGTAAAAGCAAGAAAATTGTCAAAACGATTTTATAAATGAGTGTGTTTCATTTAGTTTGTAATTTTGTGTAAGTATGCATTTCCACATTTACATTAAACCGAAAATTCAATAAATAAAATGAAGCTGATTCTAATGAGATTATAAATATTTTCATATTTACAAAAACTTTCATTTCAAAGATGTTGAGTTCTATCAAATATGGTAAATGCATACCAAAGGGTTAATTTCTTTGTTTACATTTTTTGCCATTACAGCCAGGTATGAGAGAGCTCGACTGAATTCACTTCTATATGCCGTGATTGCACGCAAAATGTATTAAACAAGGTGTGATTGACAACTCAGTGCGGCTCTCTTTTAAGGTACTATAATGTCAAAAAGTATAAACAAACGAATTAACTCTTTGGGATGCATGTATCTTGTCAGCACTGATGCCCTAGGCTTTTATTTCGATTATAGTTTTGTTTTACTTAAATTACTTACATTACATATATTTTGTCAATAAAATAAAACAAATTGTTTATAAAATCGTTTTAGCAATTTTCTTATTTTTAATTGCCCAAGTTTTATGCTTTTGTGCGTTTATATTTATATTTAAATTTTTTATCCTAAACATTATTCGACACTTATAAAAGTATGATTTTATATTTGTTTCCAATTTTATATGTGAGCTTAACTCTAACAAATTTGATATTAAATTTTTTTCATGCGAAATAGTTTTCCATTAAAGACTTTGCTTCGAGCGGTTTTAATTTAAGCTCTTCTATACTTGCTTGCATGGTTTAATTATTTCGGTAAGCCGAAATATTTCTGTACGCGCCGTGCATTCTAAAGAGTCGTCTGTTTGAGTTTGGACATCAACAAAGACTGTATCCTGATCGCGTACTAAATCCTCGATGCGCCTGTGTATAAACGAGCTCGTTTGAAAGTGCTTGATTCAGACGGACAACTAATGAAATCACTTTCCTTGAAGTGGTTTACACAAACCGGAGATGAATCTCGTAGTACAACACCACAGCTTTCTTCCCACCGCTGCCGTCTAAAATTCGCAACTAGGTGGTTTAAAACATCGCACTATTTTCGTTTCCTGACTTTTATTGCATACAAGGCACCGTTCACACGTTTTGCTTCGTTTCATCTTGGTTTCCTTACATTGAATATTCAAGCAAAGTCGAACGTATTTACTTACTTGCTCTCCTCGGCAGTTTATCTCTTAACAATTTCACGTTTATTAAGAAAATTTGTTGCTTGAAAAATTTGTGTGTATTTTTTTTTAAACAATTCAAATTTAAAAAAAAAACATTTTCAAATGGGTTAACAATTCATTTAAATTTGACATTATGGCAGTTTCTTATGAGAGCAATGTCAAAATCAATCACACTTTGTTCAATACATTTTGATTGCACGCAAATTGCTTTTATTTTCATAAAATATCTAACAATGTCAAGAAGAATTTTTCTTCAAATAAACATGATAGAAAGAAGCTGAAAAAACTATTAGTAATTATACGAAGTCCTTTCAAAAGAGGTTATTTATATTTCACTAGAAAATAAATTTAATTGTTTTTATCAATGCAAACAAAAAAAATTATTAAAAATTTTAATGCATTAAAATTTTTTCATTTGCATTATTATTTAGTGAAAACAATTTTCATTAGCGTTGAAATTTTTATTTGCATTCAATTTTAAAAATTAATGCATTACTTTTTTAACTTAACATTAATGCTTTAAGTACCATTAATGCATTAAAAAATTAATGCATTTTTCACAACTCTGGTGCACACTACAACTTGCGTACCTTCACTTTATCCACGATTATAAATCTGGTCAAACCTAGATCAAGCGTAGTCTCTGCAATAGATTTTAAACATAAAACAGATGTTTATAAACGAAGTTGCGTTGAAAACATAAACAAAATTCCCTTTTCTTTAGGCCTGCACATTTAGAGATGCACATACTTTCTTTTGCTATAATGCTGGTAATTATTGCGAATAATATAATTGTTTTCAACATTTTTCTATCAATTTCTAAGCATTTACTTCAGATGAAAGAACTTTAAGTGATTGTACCGTTCTGATTATCAACTTAAACTCTTGTGGCCAGCAAAGGAGAATTCATTTTTGATAATTTAAAAGTGCATGATTGTATACATATGACGGCATATACATCCATACATATGTACATACATTCTTGAGTGTATAAACAGTTCAAAAGTGATAAGCGTATAAAAAATATATAAAAAGTAAAAGAACTGGAAAAAATTAATTTCTTATATGTGTACATACACATTTGGCTTAACAAAAACCGACTTAAGAGTCCTATATAATTCTGTTCTGTTTTATTAATCATATGCGCGTATAAATATATACTTATACATATATGTATTTGGCAAATCTAAATATGTATATTTGTATGAACATTAACATATGTACGTATGAACTTATGTGTGTATATACACTTTAAAACCGGTTTCAGCAGCGCATCAAATAATACGAAATAATTATAAAAAAATTTAAATTGGACTTAGTCACTCGCATATGTATATTATCTACATAAATATATGCATATGTATGTATACACGTACATATCTTACATATGTAAGTGTATGTATACATTTTCTGCTATGAATGAAGCCAACACGATTTCAATTGAAAACTTGCATACAGTTGGGTTTGATTCTTTAATTTTTGTGTCCTTTCAAGTGCAATTCATCCGGATTTATTTTAGCTTGACAACGTTCTGCGTAACGGTGGCAACTGTGATTTGGACAACATTCCGAACTATTTTTGCAAGGATCTCCATGTCGACCGCAAGATTTTTCCTAAACCAAAACAAAATTAAATAACATTCATACTTATTATATAAATTGTTTATGTGTTTATCACTCACTTCAGCATTGGTAAAAGTGATCAAGCTCAAAACGCACAACACCAGCAAGAAAGAATATTTAAAGCCCACGAAATGCATTTTTATATTAGTATACTATGGAAAGAGAGCAACTGTGCTTCGTCAATAAGGTGTTAATGAAAACAGACTAAACGCTTATGTCCGTATCAAATCTATTTTATATAAGAACATGATTATGAACTGAACGACTTATCAGTAAGCTTGTTCATTCGGAAAATGGGTGTCGTTGTAATAAGCGACTGTTGCCGTTTCGGTAGCATTCGTTATTGCAAATATTTTTTTCCTGAGAATAAGAGGGGTTTTTCTCAATATATGTATGTATGTATTTATGTATGTTCATTAGGATGGATCGCGAATAAAAAGAGCGTAACCCGAAGTTCAAAAGTTACAGAAACTTCCAGGATTTTGGCGCAATAAATATTTCCGACCCAGCTATCGTTTTTTTTTCAAACCGATTGTGTTAAAACGATTTGCTAATTAAATTTTTTGTTGATAGCCTTAAGGAAAATATTTTTAATAACGTAAATATTTCGTTTTCCGGAATTTTTAAGTGATTTTAAATAAATTTTCGAGTCGAAGACATATAGAAAAGTAACTTTTTTGAGGAATAGCTTCATAACATGTCTTATTAAATGCATATAAAAATTTTAATAATAAAGAAAAAAATAATGATTTGCTAATTCCTCAAACGAGTTTTTGGGTAACGACGCCGGGTACGTAGACCCGACTGCCGTGGGAGAACATTCCTCACCGCAGCTTTCACCAACACAGTTTAAGTGAAACTCGCTGTTAAGACAATGGGCCGAGTAAATAAAAAAAAGCAATTACTTTTTCTTAAAATTTCAGACCTTTGGCTCGCCTTCGACTACACAAGTTGAACAATTCAGAGTCATGACGGGAGTCATGTTGGTGTAACTAACACATATTTATTTTCACACACACATTCAAACCGACTCACGAGACAGACGCACTGCGTATGCCGCCTATAACACAGGTCCACAAAAAAAAATCGATGAAAGGTTCCTTTGACCACGTCTGGACGTGATGGAGCAAAACGGACTTCAGATTCGTGTTCAGCGACCCCAAAAACATATATCAGAATAGGTTTGGTTAAAGGAACCTTTCATCGATTTTTTTTTTGTCGGCCTGTGTAATTAAACAAGTAGTTTTTAAGCAAAAAAAAAACCGACTTTAATTCTCATAAAATTTAATATTATTGTTCATTTCTTCATGATATAATGATCGGATTTAAACCAAATTAGTATGGGACCACATGTGTAACAACTTTCCTTTAAAAGGAGAATTATAGAAATCGGTTAACGTGGTCCAAAGTTATGCAGTAGCATACATAAAAAAAAATAAAAATATTCAGACGAATTTCCATTTTTGAAGACGGTTAAAAAAAACTTCTTTTTCTTAAAATTTAGTTACTAATATAGGATGACACAATGTTTTTGAAGGCGTAGCTTTAGAAAATTATTGAAATAGTAATACTTCTAGCTCGATTTCAAGACATGCTAATTTTAAAGTCAGCGAACTAAATAACCATGTTTGGTTCAAATTAATATAAGCTTTCCATTCATATTCATATACATATTTGGCCTTGAAAGCATGAGTTTTAATTCGATGCAGATTGTGTTATGCATAAAACAAATTTGCATTTAAGATTAATAACAGTTGTAAACAAACAAGTTTAATATTAACTCATTAAATTAATTTTGCGTTAAATACATATGTATGTAATTATCTGCACCAATACAAAACGATGCCCACTATCATTCAACTACCGTCTGCGTTCGCCCTTAACAGTTTTACGCTTTTCCTTCTTTTCCTCGCGCATTTGTTTTTGCCGCTCCCGATCTTCTTTATCCTTCTGCTTCTTCGCTGCGCTTTCCAAACGCGCCTGCTCTCGCTTTTCTTTTTGCAATGCCATCACATCCTGAACATTCGTGTTGCGTTCAATTCCAGTTGCTCCCGTATTTGTTTTTTCGACTTCCTCCTCTGACTCATACGCATCTTCGTCCTCAACTTCCGTCTGTTAAGGCCAAATTGTAGTTATATTACAATATTTTACTCAATGTTTGTGTTTATTTACCTGTGAATATTGCGCCAAAATTTGCTCGCGAATTTTCCTCTCCTCATCTGTGTATTCACGCTCCTTTACAATGGTTTGAAGTTTCTGCGCTTCTAGCAATTTGGCCAATTGCTCATTCACATCAACGTGTACAGCTTTTTTCACTTCTTCCTTAGGATGTGTCTTCTCCCATTTCTCAAGTAATACATTTATAAGAGCATCGAGATCGTTGGTCTACATTATTATTTAAAAGAATATATGGGAGATGTGTTTGACATGCATTTTAATTAAACTAACTTCAAGCGACATACAATGATTTCTCCGAGTATATCATTGAGCGCTTCACGTTTCTCTTCAGGTGTCTCTTCCCCTTCAAGTATTCCTACTATATAGGAGCCAAAGATGTCTGGGTCTGTATTCAGTATCTTAAGTTGGCCTTGCAGCCACGTTGTGAACTCATCCGTAGACTTTTTATTTTTCTGCATTTTGGCAGCTTTAATCGGTATTTCCAGCTAAATTTTATTCAATCTGTTAAACTTGTTGCAGTTGTAATTTTTCTAAATATTTGCTATTTTTGGTATTTTCCGGTTTGCCTGTAGGGATGTCGGAAAAACATCGATGCATCGAAAATATCGATGTTTTGCTTCCTCTCGATGTATAAATAGTCGATGTATCGATGCATCGATGTTTTTTGTGACTAATGAGAAATAGGCGGTTTCCATTACTGCCCGTCTCCACAGGATAAAGTTTATACATATGTTAGCATACAAATAGCCAATGGAGACCGCTCATTGCTCTTCAAGAGCAATATATATTAGAGCTTATATCTTGCCATCTATTGCCGGCAATTTGGTATTTTGACAGCTACATGTTCATTTGCACGAAAACTTCGAGCGGCAACATTATTGATATTTTAATATAAAAGCAAATATTGAGCTGTTTTCTGTTAAAATATTTGATATTATGTAATGTAATAGCCTAATTTTAATGTAATGTAATTTAATTTTGTAAGTGATTGAATCCTGCAAAAATACCTTTTAGAAGCTATTTCACAAATGCTTATATCAAGCAGAGCTGTAAAATGATTGAATCAATAGGATCTGCATTCACTCGACATTCTTTTCAAAATGTTGATTGTTTGTTTGTATAAAAAAAGCCTCATTCCTGAGTGGCTTAAAATGCTTGAAAACAAATAAACTGTGTTGTGTTTTTGAATGGTAGATTGACATTCAGTATGGAATGTGAATGTAACAGAAGCATTCGCACACACACATGATTGTATATTTAAAATGAATGCACACGTTTTTACCATTCAGTACCAATACCTTTTTCCCAGGGTTGATATATTTTATACTTTAAAGTTTAAACATATCTGGAATTGAAAAAAAACATATATGTATACGTATGTATGTATTTCAACGCGTATGTATAGACATTTTCTGACATTAACCCATGGCTAATGACTGGTGCGAAATCAGTCCAAACAAACATCGCAGCCGTCGAGCACAAAGGACACATCTTGATACATACATTTACATAAATTAGATTCGAAACTAGTGAACTGTATATAGAAATATAAAACAGTGTCAATAGAATTGAGTTTTTAAAACTCTTGCTTGAAAAAACTTAAGAATTTCATTACCGGCATCTGTCCCTTCGTATTATAGACTTTTAGAACTATAAAATGTCTATTCTGCACGTAACCGGAAAATTTTATTACCAAAAAATGTTACCTGTTCATGTCACCGCGATTCTAGGAACGTTGGTAATGCTATATATTCAGCAATTCAGCCATGAAGAATTGTGGAAATTCTGGCATTGCATATTTCACGGGGCGGGGCAATATTTTGTTACCAGCTTATGAGATGGTAACAAAATTTACCGGTTACAAGAGTACACCAATTGCGAAAAGGGTTTAAAAATTGATTGTAGACATTTTTTCGCAGAATATATGTATATATAAATTTAATTTATGATTTTTTTTCTATTAATTTTTTTCTTCAGTTTTCAAATTTGAAAACTTTCAAAACGAAATTTTATAAGGGTTCTTGTTTTCTTTAAAGAGGGGTTGAGGAGTTACATTGTAAAATTTTTTTCATTAATTATTAATTAAAAGGTGTACTATTTAAACATATTTACTACGCACTTCTGCAGTAAAAAAATACAAAAAATTAAACAATAACCTGGTCCCTCCTATAAAACGGTAATTTCGAAAAATTCGTAAAATTCAATATTTCCTTAATTACAGAAAACAAATTGCTAAAAAAAACTCACATGTTTATTATTGTACATTTTTGAAAAATGGGACATATTTCTAACTTTTGAAATCAATTTGCTCAAAACATACATTTAAAATAATGTTTTAAGAAATAATTACACCCGAGCGCATTTGTGCACATGGGTATTATAACTTTGTTCGCATAGCGGTTGTTTGTTGTCTAGCCCTTCAGGTTAATAAAGATTGTAGAAAACGATTTTTGCTTGTGTGGGGTCCCGTTTGATTCCCAAAATTGGAAGGAACTGATTTTTTCAAATTGCAAATCCTAATAAATAAATTATTTCTAAAATAGGTTACAGCAGACAATGTTTAATAATTTTTTATTAATATACCGACACCTGATTGGAAGATCGACCTATCTCGGCAGCCAATTCAAAAACGCCCTAACTCAGAAAGCTTTCTATGAAAGTCCTACTTCAGAATTTGGTTGAAGAACGCCCTATCTCAAATGAAAATATATTGAAAATTTGCCGAGATAGGGCGTTTTTGAACCGCATTCTGAGATAGGGCGTTATTCAACAAAATTCTGAAATAGGGTGTTCTAGAACAGTTTTTTGAGATAAGGAGTTTTCGAACTGGATGCCGAGATAGGTCGATCTTCCACTTAGGTGTCGATATGTAGTTTTGATGTTAACAAACAAACCAATACTTGGGTTAAAAAGCGTGCTCAATGAAATGGGTATAAATTCTTAAATATTGCACTTTCGGAAAAGGATGTTAATGAAAATAGAGACCAACGAATTTTGTTAAATATTTTTTTGTTGGAAATGTTGATAATTTGTGGCTTATTGTAAATGAAAAAACCTCCACAAACCAACAAATTCGATTTTCGAATCTTCATTAACTGCTTGACCCAATAGCGACGAGAAAAAGTACGAAGAAATTTGTATCAAAAATTTTTATAATTAAATAATTAAATGTATATGTATGTCTAAAGTTAGAACCATAAGCTCTTAAATTTGTTAGTTTATATTAACTTATATATGTATGTACTAATTTATGCATTATGCATTATTAATAGTATATTGGTAACACTTATTTGGAAAGCTGACAATTTTCTAAAAAGAGATGTTAAAATCATTAATAATTTATATTTTTCATAATGACATTCTAACGACACGTTCACTAAAAAATATTTCTCCAATTAATATTTTTTATTCTTATAAATCCTTGTACAAATTTAAGTGAAAAAACAACTGATGATAACGCTCTATTAACTATTTTTCGTGTTGAAATTTTGCAGTCTTTTTAATAAAATGCAACCTGGCGTATTTTTCAGTGGGTTTCGTGTGTTCAAAATATTTATATCAATTGATTGGTACTGAGTGGATGTGTGCACACATAGCAAAAGCTGCATTCATCTGAGTGCTTATTCAGTGTTAAAAGTGAATCGTTCGTCATTCAATTTTTTCAATCTTTCTTTGAATATGGAAATGTGTGCAATCGTATCTACTTTGAGTGAATGTAGAATTGGAAAACTATAAGCCGCATTATTCGATAAGGGAGAATTCAATGAAAACATAATAATATAAAATTGATGATTTTTAATTTCAAATGATTTCACAGTTTTACAGCTCTGATATCAAGATATAAAAAGCCCACACACAATATTGCCACTGATATAACTTATATCTAGCGACCAAAATGACAGCTGGAAAGCAAAATATGAGCAATGGAGATGGCCAGTTAGAAATATATCAACGTACAGTTTCATAGGACTCTGTCACACGGTCAGTAATTATCACGATATTTGGATCGCGCACGGATGCTACATGTTCAATATTTATCGCGTCAGTATTTGCATAATTTTTGTGCTGATCGCTTATTATGACGCTTATTTTGTGTGAATAATTTACAGATAATGCATTCTACAATTATTTTAAAATTGTCAATGTTAATTAAAATTGTTTCCAATTTGTTTTGAAAGGTTAGTTGTCGGCATATCGTAGAAGATGCAGAAACGGATAAGTACGGCACTGTCGTTTGCTAATCGTTGTGCACGCACTGACGATGAAGCAACTATGATAGGACGACCAATGTGCAGAAAGCCTAAATGAACGTAACGTAGATTTGTGCTTTTATGTTGTATAGGCTTTCATTGCTTTTCACAAACTTCAGAAATATTACATTACGGTGTGTATAGCCGTCATCTTAGTTAACATCTGGTAATATTTACATGGCAACGTTTTAGGCAACGTAAAGTTACGACCGTTATTTTACGTTACCGCTTTCGAGGAAACCAAAGCTTAAGTCATTTAAAAAAAGATGATATAATATAAACAACATGTATATCTCCTCAAACAAAGACTGTCGATAGTGGCCAACGACAATTCGATACCAATTCGATAGTACCATCGATATAGTGTTTTCCTGTGGAGGCAGGGCCTTATGCATCTGTTGATAGGCTTGGAATTTTGTCTTTGAAACGCCACACTTTTCTTTGAAAACGCTTCATGTAACCTGAACACAATGAAAACGAGGAGCTACGGATCACAGCTGTCAAATTATTTTAACACGTACCAAAGAACGTAAATCTATAAGAGGAGACAACACGTTATAATTGTAGCGAGTGTGAACATCAGGAGCAAAATTGTAGTTTGACAGTTCCACAGGTTTTAGTCCGAAGTTCAAAGGAACAGACTAATTAAAAGCTATACATATTCAAATATTTCGTTGTTTACTTCCATCTAAAAATATAAGGTTTTTTGCTTACACCGCTTTCTGTTTTTGTTTGGACATGCATATAAGCTGATCGTTTGACACTTGTCATGAACTTACGAGAAAAAACTATGGACTAAATCCTGTAACTTCTGACTAGGAACAGTTGCTCAGTTACTCTCTCAAATATGTTCCCACTTACAGGTTTTATGTCAATAGGAACGACTTCCTGTAAGTTCTGACTAAATCCTGTAAACCGGACTGCTATTGGAACAGACTAAATAATTATTTATTGATATTTAAGCCAAGACAGTGTTGTACAAATGACGTGTAAACAAATCGACTGACGTTTTTACACAAAATAGTGCTTTTTGCGTTCCTTCTACAGCTGTTCTCCTTTTACTCTCACTTGAGATAGTGAAATTGTAGTTTGACAGTTCCACAGGTTTTAGTCCGAAGATCAAAGGAACAGACTATATGCTTTTTTGATCATAAAATAAAACCCCATGGCAGCGCCATTCCTCCCCCAATGCAGAATGTCAAATTGTGTTGCCAAATGTTTGTCTCATAACCTTAAATTTTTAAATAACATTTGTACAACAGCGACTACCCCTCGTGGGGGAAAATTTTTTGTAAAAAAGTTATATAAATTGAAAACTTTTTGATATTGCATAGTCATTTTCCTAAAATTGTGCAGGTATAATCTCAAATTAACCAATTATTTCAAGTGTAAGTGTTGACAACTTTTCAAGATAGCCTACTACTGCATTTTGTTATGCAATGACTTCGACCCACATTAAGGGTTGAAAAATCTAGTGACACATACATATTCTATAAATTCACCTATTTGTAGATTAAAAATGGGTAATACAATCACTAGTGTTAGTTTGGAAGCGGCAACCAATAAGCCACAAGACCATATACACAAGGCTTCAGCGGGCGCTAACCCTCCACCAGAATGCCCTATGCACCAGAAGAGTGGCGCGGCAGCAACAACACAACCACCGCAGAAAATTACCACAACCAACACTGCACCTATATCTGAATGTCCAGTTCAACATGATAAAAATGATATCAATCCTCTTAATATGATGCCACCGGCCAATCAACAACCCGCGCCAGATCAACCCTTTCCTCTATCAACAGAACGTCAAACCTCTAGCATACCAAAAGTAAGTGAAGATGGTAGTATGCAATTCTGGCAATATCCAAGTCAGCAAATGTTCTGGAACGCAATGCTTCGCAAAGGCTGGCGCTGGAAGAACGAAGATATTTCACAGAAAGATATGGGTGACATTATTTTTATTCATAACGCTAACAATGAACAAGCCTGGAAAGAAGTACTTAAGTGGGAAGCACTACATGCAAAGGAGTGTGGCAATCCCCGGTTGAAGAGTTTCGGAGGCAAGGCTGCCGATTATAGTCCACGTGCCCGTTTTCGTAGCTGGTTAGGGTAGGTGTTGCATATTTATTTAAAATTGGTAATAATCGAGTTCAAATAGTATTTTTTATTGATAGTTATGAACTGCCTTTTGATCGCCATGACTGGATTGTGGACCGTTGTGGCAAGGATGTGCGATATGTCATAGACTACTACGATGGGGGACTTGTAGACAAGGATTATAAATTTGCAATTCTGGATGTACGCCCAGCAATGGACTCTGTCGAAAATGTTTGGGATCGTATGCGTGTCGCTTACATGCGATGGAAGTTCACAGCATTAGACACGCTTTCAGGCAATCGCAGTGAATCGAATAGTGGAAAAGTGGATCACTAAATTAAGAGCAATTTAATTGCTGACAAATTGATTTAAACTCGAGTTAATTTAATTTATTTTACACATATTGGTCTACTTTTAATTTGCTATTATATTTAATTGATAAGGTACTATGTATGTACATATATAAACTAAACAGTAACGAAGAAAATTGTGCAAATGTTGACTTCGGAGAAGGGTTTTCGAAGATCAAAGAATTAACAAAACGTTTCACTTGACAAACAACTTCCGTTATCGTTGTCCGAAATTTAATAAATACTAGCAATTAGACGAAGTAAACAATTGTTATTTTATGCGATAAAAATTAATAGTGCTAGATGTCATGAAGCATGAAGCTTTTAACTTCTAGAAGGCGAGCCTCAACTCTAAATAGGTATTGTGTACTACATTGCCCGACACGACAGGGCCAATATTATTCGTGTCGGCAACGTCAACTTGGAAAAAGCCACAAGAGTATCAATAATGAATTTGAACTTTTTCTGTCATACTATTATAATTTTTGTTTGTTTATTTCTTTACCAACATTGCAACTATTATTTCCATTCTTTACATTCGGAATGCACAACTAAATCAACAAAGATAAATTAATGTAATTTTCAATTAAGATAAAACGGAAAAATCAAACAATTAAAAAGCCTTGATGCAAATTGCCGATTTAGTAAAATGTAAATTCCGTAGCATCGTTGCAAATGTAAATCCATGATTACAATCACTATAATTTTAAATCGTTTTCCTTGGTTTAAGTAGTTAATTTACAAATACAAGAGGCCGCTTGCAGCAGCGTGGGCCATTAGTGTATTGGCAGCTTGTTTAGTTTCTAACGTCAGACGTGTCTCATTCAACCAATCGCATGCAACACGACGTGGTCCTCCTTGCAATAGGTTCATATACTTTAAGGCTTGTAGAAGATCTCCGCGGTCAACAAAGTACCTGTAATTGAGAATAGATTTTTGATGTTTAGCATAAACGTTTTCATCTTAAATGTATTTACCGAGCTCGGTTCAAAATATCGTATGTATCCAATTTGCTGTAATCAAATGGTTTGTTTTGTAACTCATCTTGCGAAATGGGATCATCGGGTTTCAATATGAACAGCGACTGCAGGTAAGAAAGGAAATATATCGGGAGACTGGCACCACCCTCGGGAACAAGCGCCAATTTACGTGCAACACGCTCTACATTAATAAAGCGTTCACGCAGGGCATCCTCAGTGAACACGCCACGCTCGCTAGCGGTAGATGGCAAGTTTCGAATCACAACAGAAACTAGTTCGTCACCCTCTGTAAGAGAAAAACAATTTGTAATAAATGCCCAGGGTTTGATTAGAAATGCGATACTTACCGGCAACCTTGGAAATCGCCTTTATTTCGCTCTTAAGCGGACGCAACTTATTTCTCCAATGTTCACCTGGTTCACCAGTGCTAACTGTAGCCCACAAGGATTGACATGCGGCCCAAAGTGCTTGCGCTTGGTGAGCCGAACGCTCAGCTGCAGCGCGCGCTGCAATTTACATACATATTAATTAATATTAAACATACACATTTTTAAATTGATAAAAAAATATGGGTTTTAGAAAACTTTTTATACCTTTAAGCTCATCATCAATTTCTTAAAAGTAGCATTTATAAAGAAATTCATAACAGATTTTTAAAATGGTATTCAGCGTAAAAAAAACACACTGTACTTACCTTGCAAAGCAGCATCCATGCCACGCATTTTACCAACCATCGCCGCCAATTGTAGCTTGTAATTTGCTTTCTCGGTTGCCAATTTATCTTCCAATTCGCGGGTGAAGCTGCGCTTCATTTCACTCTCCTTCATGGCTAAAGCATCGTTCAAATGATCTATATGCGCTTCAGCTTGCCTTTTTAATTGTTGACGCAATTGCTTTTCAGAATCAGCTCTAATTTGGAAAATTTTTTTCTGGTTCTCAAGAGCTAATTTGCGCTTTTCTGCCTCCAGGTGGTAGTCCAGTTGAGCTTTTACCGCTTCCGAGTCACTGTCGCCGCGGAATGCTTCAACTGCACGCTTGAGCCTCAACTCACCGTCTGTTTGCAAGCGTTGGAGTTCTTTTTGATAGGCCAAAACATGCGAATAAGCGTGCATGATGAATAAATCCAAATCTTCTTTGGAAAGATTTAGCTTTTGATCCGACAAATTAAGCCCAGGAAAGATAGATTCAATCTCTTCGACAAAATAGTTACGGGCTTTCTCAACCTTTAAATAAATAATACCATCAACCAATCGAATTAAAAGCGCGTTATGATCAATAATAGCTTACATTCCTCCAATACTTTTCGGACATAGTAGCAAGGTCCTTATGTTGGTAAAGCTCGTCTTTAACATGATTGATGTGCTCCAGCAAAGATTTGATTTTTTTACGAATGGTCACTATTTGCTCGTGATTTTCTGAGGTTGCAGCTTTGCTCAGAGCGATTTCACATTTTTCTATAAGGAAGAACATACGAAATAGTACAAAATTATTAAAATATTTATTTAAAATTTGGCTGTTTTGATGCTTGTTTACCGATTTTATCAATTGCTTCACGAGCCGATTTTTCCGCCGTGGCAACGGAGGTGTCGCGTGCACTAGTTCTATTCCTCAAGGAAGTCCAAATTGATGTGTCAACATTTTCAATGGCATCATCTACAACTTTACGTACATCATTGTTGAAGCTTTAAAGGGAGAATTATTATTAATATAGGCATTCAAAATATAGCCAAATAAATACCCCTTTAGGATCCCAATTGCTTTGTTGTACTCTTTTACTGCCAATGCAGCAGCTACTTCCACCGCACTTTCCAAATCTGTTACATCTCGGGGCAAAGGTTCGGGTTGTTTTTGAATTTTGACCGGTTCACTTGGTTTGGCAGTAGCAGGCTTGGACGCAGGAGGCGCTTCTTTAACAGAACTAGCAGGAACCTTTTGTTTTAAATATATCAAAAAAAAACTTTACGTGTTAAGAAACGGCCGACAAATTGTACTTTTATATCTACATATGTATATGGATATCTTACAGGCTTTGGCGATGAAGTTGTTTTCGGCTGGACAACATCAGATTCTGTGGAAATAATCGAAAATAAAAATTCTCTCTCACAATTTAATTATTAAAAACTTACGCTTTGTAGATGGTTTTTCTGCTCCGCCGAACCAGCCAGTCACAGTAGATGTGGCACTTTCCACCGTTTTGGAGACATTATCAAATTGTTTTCTCACTCCATCAAATTGTTTGTTGATGTCTGCAATTGGGTCTTGGGAATCTAAAGCTACTTTGAGAACGTATTCTGCACCAGGAACGTTTTGTTCAACTTGTTTTCGAAATTTCGGATCATATCTAAACAGATTATTTTGTAAAATAGTGTTTGATATTAAAACAAATAACATACTTCGCATATCCAATAACTCCTCCGGCAGCAACTAGGGGCGACAGAAATACCAAAATTTTGCCGAACCCAGCTTGTCGTACGTTCGGGGGCAAACCATTGCTATAATTTTTGCGGCTGTACTGGCTCAATGTGATCTAAAATTAACAATAATAAATGTAATTTATTTTCTCTTTTTTATTAGTGTATAAAATGGAACAATGTTAGTAAAAGGGTCTGCAGTAAACAATGTTGTGTGTACTTTGTTGAAGAAGGAGGAAGCCAAACGTACATGTTAGGAGTAAGGCTATTTGTTATGACATCAAAGTATATATAGCATGAGTGAACTCCAGAAGCAATATGGATCACAATGGAAACAATTTTATCAAATTACATTTCTTTTCTGGATAATTTTCTGCAGAGTTATTGAAGGTTGCATTTATAGATGACATAACAATTTGCCTGTCTATATTGGGTGGTGGGGAAAGGGGCGATCATTTGCTGTGCGTTTTTTAAGTGACAGTGATGGTGGTGCTTCGCGCACCGATGTGATGACGGCATGATAGCCAAATATATATTTTTGTACACCACTCACCTGTACGACATCTCTGCATTGCCTTTTCAATGCCAAACGATACATTTTTGTTAAAAATTTGGAATACTTAATATCGTGGTCACAATTCCAATTCGCTTAAGAGCCGGCGCTTAACGTCCTCCCTCAATCTAGACAAAACCAAAAACTTTTTTCTGCCCTGCTCCAAAATGAGCCAATATTTTGCACAGAGAGAATAGATGACAGATCACAAAATTGGATAAATGAAAAGTCAAGGAAAATCACTAACAAAGTCGGCAAAGCAGTGTATAAACGTCAAAATCATATGGGAATTTGGGGTTATTCTCGCTCAGGTTATGGAATCAAGGTGAGGCAAATTCGTGATTATTTTGATTTTTAAATAAATTAAATCCAATCATGCTCCGGTCAATTCTTACTAGTGGTAAGCATAATAATATACTAATATAAACAAATACCTAAAAATAACTAACCATTTTTAGCGGTTCGCACAGCTTCGATGCTTACCAATACCAGTTCCGTTTTCGCTACAACCCGCCGTGCTGTTACTTACCAAACTTGTAATCCATTAACATCGTTTAACTTGCCGCTGCTCAACAAAATCTCAGCTTCTATAGGTCAGCGACTTCAGCCTAGTATCGTGCCAAGTTTTACTGCGCTTCAACAGCAACAATCACGTTCCTTAACAAAGTTCTCGCTAAATAAAGGGAAACGTAAGTCCGTGAAGGCGGTTATCAAGCGCTTCAAGCGCCTAGATTGGGGCATATGGATTCGCACTCATACAGGCCGCCATAAAAAAATGTTCAAGAAATCGAAGGAGCTTCGAAGGAGACTGCGTCAACATGTTTTCACTAACGCGACGCAGAGTTATATGCTAGACAAAATGGTTACTAGTTTTTGGCGACGTCCAAAACACTACATTGATGATCCCTATGCACCATATCATAAGCGAGATGAGTTCTTTGCAACAAAAAGCAAAACTTTTAAGGTTTGAAATACGAAAGAGGCAAAGACTAAGTTGGCCCATTATTAAGGTTATTGTTGTGATTGACAAACCGCTCAATCTTAAAATAAACTAGTTAATCAAACTTTAAATTTGTTTGCTTCAAAAACCAAATAACTTTTAAGCGGAATATATTTGTTGCATACATATGTATCTGTGTTCGTATGGAATAGTAGCTTATGTCGGAAAGCTTGCTTTAGTATACTGCGGCATACTCTTTATTCTTTAAACGACAAGGAATTTTTTGATGAGATTAATTAAGAATATTGACTTGCTAGTATCGGAAATATTTCTTGCACGTTTATTTGCCAAAAGTTGTTCAACGGCTCGGCGCCAGCGAGTCATTCGCAATCGTATGCTGCGAATGCCGCATTAAAGTAAAGCCAGCCTTTCGACATAAGCTACTATTCCATACGAACACAGGTATGTACGTACGTATGTAAGTGCAACTAATACATGTGTATGTATATCTATCGAAAAAGTTGTAGATACATCGATAGCTTCTTTTTGCTTGTTGGTGCTTCAAACAGTCTAGGATATGATGATTACTGTCCTTGGACATGAATGTACATATATGCACAATTTTCTTTATTTTTTAATAGTTGCAAAAGTTACTGTTTCAATGATTTAATTACACAAACATTTAACCAATCACAATTTTACGTACAATTTAAATGCCAAGCTTGACTTTAAAAGCAAAACAATTTACATTGGGTATCATCGTTAAGAATCGGCGACAACTTTGTTGACCATTCTACCCAAGCATTGAATTTCGGTTTCAATTACGTCACCGACTTTTAAATACTCCGGTGGATTACGGTACATTCCAACACCCTTGGGTGTACCGGTTAAAATGAGATCACCAGGCTTCAGCGTGATGCTCTGTGATAATCTATGTATGACGTCGTCAATTTTGAAAATCATATCTCCAGTGAAATGGTTCTGCTTTTCTACACCGTTGATAAGAGTGCGCATGTTAAGGTCATAAACATCTTTGATTAAACTTTTATGCACAATGGCTGGGCCCAGGGGAAGGAATGTATCCATAGATTTACCGATCAAAAACTGTCCACCGTTACGAGATTTTTGCCAATCTCTGGCCGATATATCCTGAGCTATAGTATAGCCAAAAACATAGTCCATAGCTTGCTCTTTCGGTACTTTTTTGGCTTCTTTTCCGATGACAACACCCAACTCAACTTCCCAGTCCATTTTCTAAAAGTAAAGACAAATCATTTTTATAATAAACGTATTATAAGTGAGAATGTAATGGCAAAAATAAAGAATTTGCAGAATAACCTTAGGTATTCCTATCTATGTCTTATCTGAAACTCGTCATTCGACACATATATGAACATATGTACATACAAGTTTATAAGTGCATATTGTGCATATTGTGGTATATATGTGTGTATATGTATAAGTATAAGCATATGTGTATATGTATAAGTATAAGTGCACTTACTGTAGTAATTTTATGTGCGATCACATCTCCCGTGGGTCCAGTCAGTGCAGTATTAAATTTACTGAAAAACATGGGCTCCGTTGGAGCTGGCTTGTTTTGTTCTTCACAATGGTCTTTAAAATTTAATCCTATGCAAATTATCTTTTGGGGATTTACTAAAGGCGGCAGAAGAATGTGTGAATCTGTCATTTCTTCAGTTTGAAGACCGTTCAGTTTACGTTGAATTTCCTCCATTGAAATGTTTTGGGATATAAACGAAACCATGTCATTGGAAATACATGCTCCACCCGATAATTCAACCAATTTGCTACCATCTTCAGACACCACACCAAGACGTCTACGATCATCATTTTTACGCAAAAATTGTACAAAACGCATTTTTGGAACTGAACTTTTGCTAAAAGTTGAAAATTAAATATATAGTAACATTAAGCACCAATCGGTTCGAATTGAAATTAAGAACTACTGATTAGTCGTCATAAGTCATAAGTCTAATATTTGCTCTCCGGCTCACCTCGAAGATAAAAAACGAATCGATTGAAGTGGAGAAATGTCACCAAAGACCAATTTCGCGTAGTTTTTACGCAGAGGCAATCCGATTCTTAAAGCCATTCAGAAATATGATTTTTCACTAAGAATTTAGGCGGTTGCCGATATTTAAACTTTAGACCATGAATTAAAACGAGAATTTTGAAAATAAGCTTTTATTGTTTATAAACTATTTTATTTCTATAAAAGTTAGAAATCTGAAAGGCAATTGTCATTTGATAAGCGCTGAAACGATAACAGATAACAGCTGATCCAAAATATAAATGTCGGCAAAGAAGTAAAAAATTAAGCAAGAATTAACCAACACTCATGAACCCAAAATACAAGATCACCTAATCAAAGAAGCAAGAAAAAAGTATATTTCTGAGCGTTTTTGACATTTGCATAAGAATGAAAACAAGCAAAGAAAACGAAAAAGGCGCGGTGATTGAGTCCGATTAAATTGGTATTTATTATAAAATATACAAAATGAAACTTGACGACAATTCGCAAAAAAAGTTCATAAAATATGGTTTTCATGATTGAAAGTGTTTTACAATCGCATATCATTACCATGGGTCGATTTTTCAATGCCAACGTTCGGGCCACAAACGTGCACCCACTTTTCACGCAAATTTACGCCTTTTGGCAAACCAAACATACGCACAAACTTGTTCCAATCACACATCGCTTCATTTTATATCATAAATATGTAATAAACTAAAATTTATAACTAAAATCGCCGCAGAAAACACATTTAATCACTAAAAAATCATTACGAAGAGGTAGAAGACGTTGTAAACAAAACCGAAAAACGTCAAAAACGCTACGAAAACTTGTTTCTCAAAATTGATTACAAATACAACGATGGCTGATTAGGTGATCTGTAGTCCATGATAAAAATATAGTAGGGTAGAACCGCTGAGAGTCACTTTTCAAATTCTTGACGTTTCCAAACAATTTAATTTTTAAATTTACTCACAAACTCACACACACATTTTCATTTTCAAACTCAAGCAACAACAATTTCGAACAATTTCATTTTTTTATTTTCACTTTTATATGATTTTAAAATGTTGGCAAACTTCAAAAAAAAATCATAGCCGACGAATTGAGAGAACGGTTCTACCTTGCTATATTTTTATCATGCTGTAGTCGTTGGTTCATGTGCAACACTCATTTACAGAGAGCAAGCAACAATTCTCTCTCATGTTGAGAAACTTGCAAATTTCTGCACGAACGCAAATTTGCAGGAATTTGCAAGTTTCAAGTAGGTGAGACGAATATAGATGTTTTCTATCGGTATTGAGTTTCACTACCAGCTGGTGTCCACGGTTGCATTTCAACATAATTAATTTTTATAGAATTTTTAAAAGTCTTCCAGATGGCCAAAAAACAGGGTATACATGTAAATTTCGTGTTGTTCTGAATTTCTTTAACATACATTTAAATGTTTTTTATCGTACTGGTTATCGGGTTTCTTAAATCTACTCTGGTTGCAATTGCTTTCCGATTGCCAATACAATTTTTTCTCAGCCGAGTACAGTTAAAATCATTGGAACTAACTAAATTAATTATAAAAACAAGTCTTTAATTCCTTTTTTTCATAAAAAAAATAGCTCGAACTTAAAATTTTTTAAATTTGACGGACTTATTTATTAAAATTATTGTGGACAAAAATGCAACTATGTGCCAAAATCATATGTTTTTTGTGATTGCAAATTCTTGCTGGTTTTGGACATTTCCATAACCATTAAGGGCCGGTTGTTCAATCATCAGTAGCTGTCACAACTTTTCACTTTTGGTTTCCATGTATTTACTACGGGCGGATGACAAATTTTCAGTTTAAGTTTTTTTTGGGCGAATCTCAGGATAAGGCTAAATATCATGGTGGAATCATACCCTGGCGCCATGGCTGAATATATATTTCATAGTTTCATTGAAAATTGTTGAAACGAAATCAATTTCGGTTTAAATAATTTTATGTATTCAAATTTGTAAATCTAATTGGGGTGAAAGTTTTGAGAAATCTTGGCAGCCCTTCAGTCATCTGTTCCTTCGACTGACGGCTGTCAG